AATTCATAGTATTTCATAGGTATACTAAATCACCTAATATAGAACCGTTGTGTGTACCTTAGAATTATGAGCTCTTGTATCTACAGAGGTGTCCCTTCCTCATGAGTCCATGTGAACCGCCCATTTTCTACAGTAGCCCATGCAAACAAAACTAAACACTGGTAAAATAGATCTTTGGTTTTTTGCACAATTCCGCACGTAATCCTGTAATTTCTATAAACACTGGTGGATAAGTGCAATCTGATCGCATCTTACAAGTTTCGTGTCTCGAAATGTGAACAGTCGTAGTGTTAGTATAGACTGACTGTATACATGAATATTAGACCAAGAGTAAATAAACATCTTGATAGTATGTAAACATTCATTGATGAATGATAATAACTGTTAAATTGCTAATTTCGTGAAGGATCAGTAAGGGTTAGATGAATGAAAGTGGATTTTAGAGTGTACGTGATATTCATCACTGTTAAAAAAAAACTACTTATTGGAGCTTCATACTAATACTCAGGTATAGCAGATGCAGAATCAATAAGTTTACTGAGAAAAGAAAGGATATAATCGTATTTTTTGAATCAGTAAGTAAAACCACACAAGTTCTTATGTTGGCTAGATCGCAAAGCTAACGTCATATAGTATTTAAGAATAATGCAAAAATAGTGTAAATTTAAAATCATAATTAATATCTGTATGTTTAGAATAAACATTTTAGGTATTAAAAACATACTAGAGGGTAATCGATTATTATTGTAACAAAATATCGTTGTTATTGTCGAAGAATGAATTGTATCTTAACTACATTTAAATTTTGTGTTAGGATGAGAATCTTTGTCAGTCCATACATTTAGTGAGTCACATATGTTTTTAATATAACCACTTGATTAAATATATATACAGTATATGAGATGTATTGAGACACTGTGGCGAGAGCAAGACTTATTATTTCATTAAGCGTGGTCGTGGTTTGTTAATAGAGACGATACGACCGCCAGTAATATCTGCCTATATGCAACGCGAGTGTGACTGCAGACCTAAGTAACTATGTGCTGATTAACAGTCGAGAGTAATTCTAAATGTGAATCTTGTGCACAATATATCTTTTGCCAGAGTATTTTCCATCTAGACACGACTCGTTAGTAATCCTGTATGCTAGCATAATTCTGCACGAAATCGATCTCGCAATTTTAGATATTTAATGTGGTACTAATTACAATACCTTAGCAAAAATTCGTCTTAGTTAATCTCATTCAACTCAGGAGAGAGATCACTGTGACTTGGGTCTCCCTTATCCAACTATCAATCGGATTTCTGGTGTTCTGCTTTCAAGCCTTTAAAAGGTCAATAATAGTTTACCTTAATGTATCTTCATTGAATCAGAAACGTGTATCATGAGTGTCACATTTTACTACAATCCAACGACACATATATATGTACAACACCATCAGGAACACATGCGCATCACGTTATCCACATTCCTGAAGAATGGATTTACTCAACGCCGGATCTCTCGTTCATTAATTCATCAAGTACTCGATAATACTGAGTATCTTTCTTAAGACGACTAAATTTTCTATTATCTAATTGCTCTAACTATTCAGACTTCTTCTGCTCCTTTCGGCAGATGCATTCATTTTTCAGAGTTGCTTGCACATGAATTAGTTCAGACTGACTGAGTGACACGATCCAGATACAGAAGCCAGAGATTATATATGATACGAGAAGGAGTTTAAGCTGCGTTTGACAATGGGGCATGAAAGAATAGGTCCAGTAGTACAGTTGGTATGAGTATCACAATATAATATGTTTTGCAGATCTCATAAATGACTTAACGCCTAGCATACTCAATCAGATCTGACCTTAAACATTCGATCACCTTCATCCGATTATCCAGCGATTAATTCTCTCTCTCTGGCATATATCCTCTCCCGTCTTGGTCTAGTATGTAGTTGATTTCTTACACAGTCTACGAGGAACCAAAAAACAATAGGTACTTCCTAAATGTTACCACACTGGACTAACTTAAGCTTTTAAACCCACAAACCTTATTTCATACATCTAACCAAAAACCCATACAATTAAAACCTATTGAACATCAAATAATCCGGGGCACGGATCAGGGAACCAGAGGTGTTTAAACACGCTTACTCTAGTTCTGTTTAGGACTCATTCCTGCAGCACTCAATATTGGCGCTAGATGATTAATCACAGAGCCAGGCAAGTACATGTTCAGTGAAAACAAGACAACAGAAGTAACAAACTATCATACTCATCATTTCAGAAATGGAATATAATATTTATAGGTATGTTTTCATTAGTGTATAATCACCTGAATATAGGAATCGTTGTGTTTGTGTTACCTTAGAATGAGCTGTTTGTATCTACAGAGGGAGTGGGTCGCCTTCCATGGAGTCCATGTTGAACCGCCATGTTTCTACAGTAGCCCAGAGCAAACAAACTAAACACTGGCTAAAGATAGGACTGTTTGTGTTTTTTGCACAATTCGCGGCCACCGTAACCTGCTAATTTCTATAAATCTCACTGGTGGAAAGGGGTTGCACATCTTGTATTCCTGCAGTTTACACAGTTTGTGTCTGGGGGAAATGTGAAACCAGCTACCTGCCTGGTGCCAGTGTGACGCCTATTAGAGAGACTGTGAAGTACACTGCAGGACCTCAGTAGAAAGAAGTTAAATAAACATGCTTGATATGTTGTAAAACAGATTACTTTGATTGACATGATCCAACCTAACTGGTAATTTGCTAATTTGCTGGAAGGATCAGCTAAAGGTGTGTTCAGACTGAATGCAAAGTGGATTTTAGAGGTGGCACGGTTGCATATCACTCACTGTAAAAAAAAAAGACTACTTATCCTGCAGCTTTATGACTCAACGATCAGCGTAAGCAGATGAGAAAATAATGGTTCTGGAGCAAAAGAACAGGTATCATGGTCATTTTTGACATCAAGTCACACAGGTACACACCACACACACACAGTCTGTGCTTATGTTGCTAGCTAGCTACAGCTAACGTCTGTACATTAGCTTTTAAGGGAAAATAAGCTGCAAAAACAGCCCAGTGGTCAAATTTGAACACATAATGCAAGCTAACATAACACAAACACAAACTATAACAGATTCTAATCAACTCATAAAGTTAAAAAAATCTAGCTTATTTTCAGAAGATGACGTTTGTAGAACATTCAATGTATTTTTTCCAGGCATGCATAAATTTGACCACCTGACAATCTGTGCAGTCCATGTTTATTTAACAACCAATATAGCAGCTGTACAGACGTCAGCTGTACACAGCCTCTCTTATTTCTGCCAATGCCTCTGCAGTGGGGTAGACCTACAACCAATCAGAGCAACGAAACGTGATGTAGCGCAGTTGGTAAATTAAACTTACCCGATCCTGTCAGCAGAACGTTCCACATCAGCAGCAGCCATCTTGTTTGTCAACCTTGGGAGGCAGCTGAACTATCTATCCATCTTGCCAGGCTTCAAACTATGCACTTGTGTGTAGCAGCATGATTAATGCTGGGTGTGCGAGAAGTGCGTGTTAGCTCGAAAACAACAGTGGTGGTGCTAACGAGGTTAGCGTAGACGCTGCTAGCATCAGTTCTATCAGAACTGGAGAGTATTTCTGCATTGAACGGCACTGAAGGCTTTTCTCCATGGAAAGGATGTTTTCTCTCTTCTCCTGACTGGCTTCAGTAAGAGTTTGACTATGTTATATGGTTCATTGATCTGATTGGCTGAAGTTTGCTTGTGACGGTGATAGACAGATGGTTCATCCAATCATCCGCCGAGTATTTTTTTAACAGGCCTGCCCTTTTCTAAACAGTTTCAACAATGACTTCACAGATGGTTCTGTGTAACAAGGTTATCAACAATAAGGTCGCGCTCCTCTGTGCAGTCATCGTATGAAACCCGCCCCATATTAGACAAACGGTTGTGATTGGCCCGACCAGATTAAGGTCGGCTGGAAATCTGTGTGAACGGGAGGGGGACCAGATGCATCTGCCACAAGCTTACTGTTTCTACAGAAGGGTACAACATTCATGCTGCTCTCAGACCTCATATACCCTACCAGTTCAGTGATGTTACAGACCCCTCCCTCCTCTCTCTCCCAGGTGTGCCTTTTCTCCTCAGGTGAGTCAGTCTGTGTGTATTATTTAGACAGAGGGGGCTCAGTTCTTTGGTCTGCTGGCTCTGCCTTTGTTGTGTGCTGTTTAGAGACCGCCTCTCCTCTCTCCTGTGTGCTGTTTTTTTTCAGATCCACTGAGGCCGGATCGGTGCCTGGGCCCTTCTCCTTGTGTGACAGAGGACTTACTTGAGGGTTTTCTGGGGATTCAGCTGGGATTGTGCTGGGGGTCTTTTCTTCGGTAGGTGGGGACACCAGCAGTTTTTCTAGAGTTTGGGGCAATGCCAGCACTCTGCTGGGGCTCTTTTCCTGGGATGTGGGGGGTACAGGAGGCTTTTCCAGGATTTGGATTAGTGCCAGAGGCCTCTCTTTGTCGAGAGCTGCAGCTGGACTCAAGAGTCGGGGTGCTGATGCTTCTTGCTGAGCCTGAGCTGTAGAGGAGGGACACCCTGAGCCCGGGGCTTCCTCCTCTCCTGGAGGGGAGTGCTTGTTTTCAGCTACCGTCCCTTCACAGCCCGTCCTTCCTCTCTCTGCCTTCAGCTCATCCTTCTGGACAGCCTCCTTCTTTTCTCCTGCTGTCCCTTTGTCACTGGCTGGGTGGATGAAGAACATACAGACAGATGGAAGGATACGTTTAGACCGCAAAAAGAAAAACAACAAATCAAAGAATAACAAAAACAGAAGGTAAGTTACGAGCATGACTGAAACACCTCTCTCACCCTCCTGAGCTCTTTGTGCTTCCTCCCCACTGGATGAAATTTCAGTGCAGGTGGGCAGATCACCTCTGTTGCCCCGGAAACGGATGGGTGACCTTTGTAACACCGCCTTCAGTTCTAAGAGAGATGAAGGCAGACATAGAGGGGCTTGAGACTTATTGGAGAGCAGTGGCCATATTACAGACACTTCTTAGACAAGGGTCTAAGATTCCCAGTGTGGTACTATAGAAGCAAATCCTAACCAACTTTAGAAATTCTATCTCATCTCAGGTTTGGAAATCCTGACTACTTATTTAAACATCATCAAGCTTTCATGTCTGTTACCAAGCAACTGACATTATTTCTCATCTCGCTGAGCTAAACAACTTTGTCAAGGTTGTTTTTTTCTCAATGAAATAGACAAAAACTGGAGCAAGAACAATGATGGGCACTAAACTTCAAGACAGATGAGTTAGAGAGAACCTCGGGAGAGAAATTCAAAGACGTTCTTTTAGGAAACAATGCTAACTCTGGAGATAAAACAGAGTTCCACCTGTTGACATTTTGTTGGTTGTGTAAAAGGAATAAAAGAGAAGACATAAAAAATAAACAAGTTAACAAACACTACCTGGTGGAAAAGTGAAATTCAGGACAGCATAACGGTTGTCCTTAAGTTCAGAGAGTTTATTGAAGTTTTGGGGAAGTTAGTGTAATACACTTTTCTCACTGAAGTTAGTAAAGGAACATTGACTTAGGAACTGTTCATCTGTAACGTCTTCTTTTCCTAAATCAGGTCCCAACTCTAATTACCATGGTTACCAAACAGTTCAATGATCAGTGTGCAGAATTTAGCAGCATGTAGTGGTATAGTTACTGACCGCAACTTTTTCGCCTCACCCTCCCTTTCAAGCACAAAGGAGAAACTACGGTGGCCACAAAACACATAAAAAACGCAAATGCCCCTATGTAGAGCCAGAGTATGGTTTGGTTTATCTGCTTGAATGCCATCTTATTTGCAGACAAGGCGAATATCAGCCAATATACTGGTGCATCCCTACTCTCCAATACCAATACAGCCTCATAAATGTTACACAGTGGACTTTTAAGCTTTCACATACGTTATTACTATTATTAGTATTTTTTATTTAAATTTTTTTTACGTCTTCATTAAACATAGTCTCACCTTGTGTCATGGCCAGAGTGTCCTCGTGGACGGACACAGCCCTGCGCTGCGGAAGAGGCTTCAAGTGTTGCCGTGGCTTAGGAAGACTTTCTAGAAGAATAAAAAGCACACAGCTTTAAATCTACTTTTTGGAAAATTTTGAAAGATGTAATATTATAACAATTTCAGTGCCAATTGAAAAGAGTGAGCAACAGACTGACAGAGAGAGAGGGAACCAGGATGGGTCGTATTATTTTTCAGATCACATTATAACATGTTATGATCACGACAAATGTTATGTAAATATATTTCTTACATGTAAATGTAACCAAACCACTGAATGCAACCTCACCATGTAGGACATAAATCTATGTATCCTTAGTGGTTTCACAGCATGACTCTCACATGGTGCCCATGTGGCTCATGTGTGACTATGTCAACTGTCATGTCACATCCTGGTGATAATGACCCAGACGTGTTAAATCTGTGGGCCTGTTAACATGGTGAGTTTACAGACTACCATGAGCCTTCCCTGAGCCCCCCTTTAATGGCCTCCGCACACCAACC